TTCCTCTGATAGGGGCGTATCAGACGAAGAAAATTGTACCAAGGATTTTATTTTTCACAACTTCTTCAAATCACCAGTCCTAGTCTTCACGGTTGTCAAATGGCTTTGTGACAAGTGGTGACGTTACCATCTGTGGTGCGGTAAATGGGTCGAATTATGCATAGTCAGTAGTAGTTTATTCTTTCAAGGGGGTCTTAAAATATACCAGGATTATCGGGAGCCATTAGTCGGACCTTGTCCCAGAAATGTCTGGTTAACTCGCCTTACCAATTTTTATGCTCCTGGCTGACCTTCCCACTCTCTCGTACATTAATTGGGCGAACAACGCCAATGAACGCCGAAAACGGCGAGGAAGCTACCTATAAATAAAAAGCTATATATCTTGGGTTCATTCTAATAAGGTGGTGCATGCTGGTGCAGAACACGCAAGGCCTTTAAAGCCAGGCCTAGGAGGCTTGGTTTACTAGCGGAAATTCTCACCCCTGGCTAACAAACGCTTCTTACCACCTTAACAATGAATTTGAGAGAAGTTTTGTGAAGTTCATTACGTTAAGTCTGCCCAGGTCTAAATATGTGAAAAGATAAAGCCAACAAGAAATTGCGCTGACAGAAGTTACAGAAAATTCCGATCGCGTGAAAGTGGGCGGGTTAGTCTGGGGCAGGGCGTGGCATTGAGCTTGAAGGACTATGGGGAGTGACCATTGAGGCAAAGTTTAATACTTCCGGGAAGGGTAGCTAATTTCACCTTCCCGGAGCGGCTTTGAGGCTTCAAATGAAGTTTGATGTGGGTTCGAAACTGTATAGGGTGATAACGTACTCCAACACTTCTGCGGATTTGACTGAAATTCCAATACATGGCGTATTCTAAACGATTTACCCTTTCCTTGCAGTCCTGACTCTTCGGTACATCTATCGTCGTGGCAAACAGCCACCAGCCCATACAGTGACGAACCACTTGATGAAGGATGTTACTTGGAGGAAACATCGTCGTTTTCCACCTACGACAACGTCTGTGACGACGACCAGCACATCTACCATGAACTTGAGGTACGTACCAGTTTTTGAGGACTAAAAATGAGGTCGTAGTAAGTTCACGAGAGTAATAAGTCCCGTTGCTAGTCACTAGTGAATATTTTACGAGTTCGCATTCATTGAGCGCTTGTTTGTTACCCGTTGCCGCTTGGTTACTCACATTTGAATGAATGACGAGGGTAGCTCGGACAGATCTTGGAGGGAATTATTTCACTCTATATCTAGAAATATTGAAAGCCTTTCTTTACTCGTCCTGTCCAGACGAAGCTCGGATTATTCTACTCTAATTGGCCAACCTGCCCTCATTTCCAACAGGATGTCACGACCGTTATTACACGAAGGGATTCGCAGAGGGTTATTCACTTTGTTGCCTCAGCCGGGGCATGTCAGGAGGATAAGAAAAATGTGTCCCTTCACACGACCCCTGGCTGCATTTCTCTTAGAAAGCGTTCTTCAACCCACAGGTCTTATTATGCCTGCGTCAGTTTGGCCCTAAATTCCAGAAAAGAGCGACAAAAGGATTGAGGTGGCATGGGGCGCGAGTTCATAATAAACGGTGTAGGCTAGATCTCCCACACCTCTTCGGATCACATCACTGGCAACCTAAATATGACCCTCTTCCTCAGAGACTCAGATATGACCCCTCACTGAGAGTGCTTTAACGCAAGTGGTACTGTAGAGGTGACACCCACTCCTTTATGTAGGCTCCCTGCCCGGTGGGGGTCAACATAACCCATTCGTATCTAAAAGTCTGGTTGTACTGCGGAGAGTGTAGAACTCTTCTTAAATTGGTCTGACAATGTCCCTAGCAATTTATTCGAAGGCCTATGATGATAGGGTTCTGTCAGAGACCATTGCTTGCGAACGCGAGCGGTTAAGACTTGTCGCTAAGCCGCGCGCGGTGATGGGCGCGGTTTTTTCTTAATTTGCAATAGCCTGACGATAGATTGCCGAATTACTTTTGAATGTGAAGTCGTAGACATTTATGGCTATTTTGGTTCAACATTATAGTAGAGCCGCCATCTGAGACCTAGAAACACCATCATGTTTAGGGCGATGTCGCAGGCGCACGCACCAGCGCGGCGATACGATTGTCTTGTCACATATCTCCTGCGCGTGGGCACATCATTTTGAGGAGGGAACTCCTCAATCGAAAAATTGGCATTTTTGCATCCATGAAAAGGATGCTCCCAAGAAGGTCCGAGTGGCGACAGAGAATAGTTTGGCGTTTATTGTTGCCAGTTGCTAGTTGCCTGATAAGATTACCGCGCATGCGGCGCTGCTTTCGCCTCTACGCCGCTGCTCAGGCTCTTGGTTACGGCTCTCAAAACTCTGTTCGCAAAGGACCTTTACAAAATACTATGAAGGGCAATTACTCTCGTGTCCACAATTTTTTTACCAGATGTGCTTTGAGCCTAACTGAATGAATTTTGTTTCAGCTCTGCTGCCGTGTTCCGGAACGCAGCTACAGTTCCGAACAGTTGTCAAGCCTGGACGACTCCCGAGCCAGCTCTCCCATCTACGCGTGCCCCGATTCACCGATATACGCCCAGCCATGGACAAATTATGATCTGCCTGAGCGCCATGTTCCGAACATAATTCTTGCCCAGGAGCGTAATCCGGCATCGAAGCCGCTCGTAGTACGTAATCAGTCCTTCAAACGTGTCTTGCCGAAAACACGCGACGAGTACGCGACACCGCACACCCTATCATCGCCGATTTCGTACGTGGAACGGACAAACTCGCTCGTTTACCCCGGATCGTACTTCTCACGTATTGTAAGCGGTGCTAAGGCAAATCAAACCTTTGACGATGCCCTGTCCAGATTGGGAAAACCGACTGACGATGGAAGAATCTGAAGAGGAGTTTTTGACTGAATTGGACGCTCAAATCGCTGAACTACAGGTTAGATACGGTACAACTTTTTCTGAAAGTTTCGTTATCAACACCCAAGTCGGAAAACAGATGGTTTCCAGGAGAAATGCACCAAGCAGGGAGTTTCTTTTGCGGTTATAGTGATGGAAATGACAGGGATGACTTTTTGCTACGTCCCAACAGGCTCATAAACCAATTGTGACCACACAACTATTCAGCAATTTTGCCGTTTCCGCCCATTTTTGAATTTTTCATCTACTTCCTTGCGCGCTCCCAGGCGCAAGAAATCGCAGAAGCACGGGTAGGTTGTGAGGGAAGTTCTTTTCCTCGTCGAGCAACAAACGGGACGACCTTCCGTCAGACGTTCCGTCAGAATATGATGGAACGTACCTTGGGGCCCGATTCATGCGCATTGGTCAACCCACCCGAGGGACTCGTTCTGTCCGTTTGCGGCAAAATCTTTCACCCGTGACAGCGATGAACGCGATGCGCCATCCGCAACACGTTTTCCGTCGATTTCTTCACAAATAGGAAACATTCACCGTATGTTTGTCAAAGCGACTTATGAGAAGCCAAAAAGTTCCCTTTTTCCAGTAGTGAAACCCGTGGTTCAGGTTATAAAGCGACACTTAAAACAGTGATTAATTGCATGACGCCAGAAGTTCCCACTTTTTAGGGGGTAAACTAGGGACTCAAGCCATTTGATCATGATAAATTACCTGGCTATATGCTTTACGGCTATGAACTGGATGAACTGGATCTGGTGTAGAGGAGCTGAGCTTTATTGGTGAAGTGCTCTACGGCTTTACCTTCCGGGGGGACGCTTTCACGTATTAACCTTCTTGCATAGCACCGCATTGACTCGTAGACGCCTTTGGGTTAGACTTCAGCCTGAAATGGGAAGCACCGGTTATCTGCAGAATGAAATCACTCATTTCCTTGGTAAAAGACAGACGGTTCTCCACCAGAGGGAGAGCATTTTGAGAGAAGTCGAATTTCGCAAAAACTCTCCCTAACATCAGGACGTGCTCAGGTTGAAAATTTGTTCACATACCGATAAAGCAGCGTTCAGACTTTGCGACGGCAGCGTTTCGGTCGCTCGTTCGAACGCTACCAATGCAGTCGAAAGCATGCGCATCGATTGCGCCGATTGCGCGACCGAAGCGCTGCCGTCGCGAAGTCTGAACGCGGCCTTACCATTAGACAACACGGTGGCGCAAAGAGAAAACTGGAAGCAGAAGAAAGTGTTGATTTCAAAGATGATGCTTGTCCGGATTTTTAATTATCAGTAATGTGATCCTTAGTCAACTGTCTTATTTAGCCACATTTTATTTGTTTTTTTTTACCTTTTAAATGCCATTTGTTTCGACTGCTTTGAATTTACATCTTCTAAACATGCCATTTTCAGCTACGCTCCGATGAACTTCGTCTCATCGTTGAGAAAGCTCGTCTGCGACGAAATGCCAGCTGGATGCGACCACCCATGGAGTGCACTTTTGAGTTGTCTATCTGAACATTCTGCCTGATTTCATTCCTTCTCAGAGCCCACTCCCCTCTCCCGTCCTTGAAATCCAGCCAGACCGCGCCATGGGGATTGAAAAGTGGTTGTGGAGTTGCTATCCCCTCCCTAAGTGAAGGGCTCGTTATGACCTACTTTGGTGAACGTACTGGTGATGATGATGGTGATGTAATACTCCCTCCAACCGAACCCCGAATTCAACCCACACCTTTCAGTCCCTTCGGTCGGGGGGGGGGGGAGAGTTGATTCAGCCAGCAACTTTCAGCCATCCAGACCTGAGTTACCCATTTAGCCATTTAGTCATTATTCTCCCTCACATATACACTGGTTTATGTGGTTCCATCGATACAAAAAGTAATCCCAATGATATGCAAGGGAACAGCTCATTTTTCCTATGGTAACCTCAGCGTAGCTCGTTACAGTATTTTCTGGCTCTTTTTGTGTTTTAACGCACCGGCTTAAGCCCATTTTGTATTCCTCATTGAGCTTTTTCTATAAATTATTGGTTAACTGCTTCCTTTAATTCAATGCCTAAGAAAGTTGAGTGTCGGTCAGGCGGTCCAGCGTGCGGAACCACCGTGCAAAGCAGGCCGATAGTCCGTGCCGCATGCGCGACGCCGCGTGCGCTATGCCGCCGCAACGTGGACTTCCTGACCGACACTAGAAAAAAGCTTCTTTGCTGTAAATTTTGCATGTCTACGTTTTGAAAATTCTTTGTCCTACAGAGTCATCCTCTTTGCCATATGAGCATTTTTCTTTGGTCTTCAGGCGCTACGTCTAGTGTTATGGAAAGGCCTGGGGCGGGAGGGGGATGGAGGGGAGGGGAGCAGAAACGCTGGAGAGATACAGGGCACGTCACGGGGAAAATTGGCTGTCTAGCACAACCCCGCTCCACTGCCCTCTCAATCGCGACCCCTCTCAGTACGAAAGTTAACTTCAACGACCTCTTTACCTCATCTTACCGGCCCAAACTTTCCTTTCTCCCATGAACGCGATGTAATGAGCCAAATACGACCAGGGCGATTCCATTATGGCCCTGGGTGGCCCAAATCGGGAACCCTAAAGCCCTCAAGGATGATGTGCTCTGCCAGGACAACTTTGTAAGTTTCTTCTCTATTCCTATTCTTGTCATGTCACTTTGTGCTGCTTCTCTTGTCATTTATTCCCCGTATGAGGTAGAATAGACCTATTTCACCCTGTGAATTTTTTCTATGTCCGTGTGATCTCCTCAATTGAAAAGAGCTTCTCCTCATCATATATATTTTTATTTAATTTAGTCCATTCTATTGTACCGTATCATATTACAGGGTTATGGAACTCGTCCTTGTCATCATTGTTGTCGTTCAGTCAACGCCTAAGCAATAATAAACGATTTTGTGGTGTCGTGTCTTCTCACGCGACGACGACCTGCTAAGTGTTTTGCTTTGGCAATCTGCCAATAGACGTCAACGTATCTTGGCTCATTAGCATTGTGTGAGATTACGTCGCGGTCACAGCACGCCGGATGGGGTCAAATCCTAATGAACGCCAGCTATCTCACGCTGCTCGGGGGGCGTTCAGCTTCTTCTGTGTGCCATTTCTGCAGGAAGTCATCCCAAAGCAAACATTCATTTGGCCAAAGTCAGCCCAGTCGCTCCTTTATTTTGAGGAAATGGAATCGAAAAGACTAGTATTTCAGAGAGAAACCTTATGAATGGAAATCTCGGAAAAGATTCTTAAGGAGCGATATCTCCGCTTCTCCAGGGTGGCCGGATGTTGTCCCACCACGTACATGTGCAAAAGAAAGCAGTAATTAGTGATAATGCCTTTGCCATTTTCTAGACCATAGCCCCAGGTTTTTGTGAGAGTCCTTCCTTCCTGGATGGAGATTGCAAGACATGAGAAAGTAACAGTAAGCATAGAAACCCCCTATGCCCTGAGACTAACTCCTACCCATTACAGCCGGTTCAGGGACATACACTGCTCTACATAATGATAGTTCTAATAATGATAGTTCCACCCATTACAAAATCCATCTTACACGACGTTTTCAATAATGCCTCCAAGTGGGGATTGGTTTATTGATTTCGAGTGAGATTCGAAAGATTTTTCGATGGAACTATCATTATGTGGAGCAGTGTATTCACATAAGATGGAAACTTCATAGGGAACTTGGTGAACATCTACCACAGGTGGATTCGCTTCTGAACTAATGCAGTTAGGAAAAATCTCTTTAATAAGGCCCACTTTTTGATTTTCTGTCTTCTAAGTGAGTTATGATGGAACCGCGTTTAATAGATAAACGTTTCCAGCGATTCTTCGTTTTTTCACCTCAGCTAGCCTTGCGCGAAGTTCTTAATTTTCAGCCTGCACGGTCAAGCGCCTCATCATGGTGGACAGGCTGCAACACCTCCCTGAAGCCCCACATAAAGAAAGATGCCCTCAGATATTTCAGCCTCCGTGCAGGGTACAACATGATAGGGAGAATCTTTAGGAAGGGTTCTGGCTTAAGAAAACCTCTCTTGTTGTTGATTTCTCCCAACCATCCCCGCTGGACGTCAATTTTTGCAAGTTTGGAGAAATTGTTGTTGGAAAATCGGTGGGGATTCAGAAGAATTTCGTAGTAGCCTAGGTAGGTTATACATAAACGGGGAGTCGTAATTGAAATGTGGAAGAGAGGCCACCTTCACACCACCGTTCCAGCCATCTCGATGTTCTAACGTTCTTCCGGGGTTCCGCGAGCAGGTCGTTCTCTTCAATAAGGTGAACTGTAAGGGTTAAAGGAGACACTGGAGACAGTACGTGCAGTCTTGCTCGCTGTGGGAGCGACGCTGAGCAGTTCTTCACCAGTAGTAGAAGCTAGTAGGCACACGGAGTTGTCACTCTGCAGAAAGAGAGATAGTCTGAGACCTGGAAGAAAGACAGAAAGTCTGAGACCTGGGATTGCTCTAACGATTTTTGACGGTCTCCTGCTTCTTCCGTAGACGTGAACCTCTGTGACCAATAAAATTTTCTACGTCACGAGCTAATGTTTCTTGCATGGCTTCTTCATAAGTACTGCCATCATCCCTGCAAAGGCTTTCGAAGGGGCTGGAATGGGTGCTGCCAAGGCGACCAGTTCCGCCTGCGGGGCCACCTTACGTCCGCAACAGCTGGCGCAAAGATTGCTACAAATCTCTCTGTTACGGGTCTTAGGCAGGGTTCAGACTTCGCGACGGCAGCGCTTCGGTCGCGCGTTCGACGCGATCGATGCAGTCGAAAGCATGCGCATCGATCGTCGAATCGCGCGACCAAAGGCGCTGCCGTCGCGAAGTATGAACGCTGCCATAGTTTGCAGTGGTCACGGCTATACACGCCCGCTGGGTAACAAGTGCCTTTTGGGTCGGTCAGAAAGCGAATGAGTGCGCGCGAACTTTGCACGTGGTGGTGGAGGCAAAAAGACGAGTTACTTTATGAACTGCCCGAAACTAAAACTGAATAGAAAGAAAGCCCGCGACGACAACGACAGCTGCCTAAGGAGCAGGTCGCCAGTGGGCCCAACGTTTCGTAGAACATGTGTTACCTGAGACTGTTCCGTATTTTTCAGTTGAGCACTTTCGAAGCATGGATTTGTGAACAACTATCTTTGTAGCATCGTTGGAGTGTTGGTTGCACGGCGCATCCCAACATATTAACAAAACATAGAATGATTTATTTTTGCACATGAATTTTTGTTGTAAGCACCACCTATCTGGTGCACGCCGTGCCCACACACTTTGCTGAATCCGCCAAATTTTCCCGGGCTTTGGCAAGTCTTTCGTGGGTCGTGCGTGCTCTGTTAGTGAGCCGCGAACCACCCAACCAGAGCATGCCGTAGGTTAGGGATCCTTAGAGGTTAGGGAGATTGGGGTGGTACTTGCTTCTGAGAAGTGTTCCCAGTTCTTACAGCTGTTGGCTTTCTTTTCTTTTCCCGTTTTGCGTGTCCTATTGTCTTACACTCTCCTTACACCCCCTCCGGCACTGAATGGCAGTTCTCTCAGTTTTTTTCCCTGAGAAAAAGGGGGATAGCTTTGGGATCTCGGGAAATTTCGGTGGCTAGAATGGGGAATGGGAGTGAGGGTCGTACTACAAGAGGGAATTCTGAAGAGGAGTCATATCCTTTGAAAGTTCCCTACGGCAGGACCCAACTCACACGCAGTCCGGACTCTCCAAGTACCAGGTAATACCAACTTCTCGGACAGGTAGGACGTACGGACGGACGGGCATAACGAAATCATATAGCGTAGAGATTGATTAAAACACATTTTGGGCATAGTTCGGCGACGTGGGGGGGGGGCATTTTGCACTCAAACCCCACTGGTTCCAGTTTACAAGTCTGACTCTTTTGGAACCGATAAACTCTTCAAAGCTGGAGCAAGCTCGACCAGCCATCATGGTAATACGTGTCAACTCATGTGAGCTCATGAATTGGCTCTCTAGATGGGTCGAAGCGTAGTCGGGAAAAAGCAAAAGTAGCCCCCTCGTCGCCAAACTACCCTTTCATTCTGAATAAATACTGGTAATGAGCTGTAACATGGCAACGGGAAAGCATACATTGAGAAAGCATACGTTGAGGAAGTAGAGAACTTTCATGGTCAGAGTGCTCTTCGGAGTCAGCAGAGTCCACCGCAGGGGTCTCGAGCCTTTCGGACATCACAATGCCGGTTGGAGTTTTAGCATGAATACGGAGAGCATCAGGATCCAATTCCTCCATCTCCTTCAGTGTCTCGAGATGCGGCCGAACACATTCCCTTACCTGAAAGAGCCATAGGCGAGCATTAGGCTCCAAAAGAAGAAGAGCCAGGTGACATCCTCAGCCGGATCACGTCATCTACAGTGAAGGGTGTGGAGCGTACTAGGCCGTTGAAGGGAGGGAGGAGGCTGTATCAATCTTTGAAGGAAATCTTTCCGGCTTTTGACCTCTCTCGGGTTCTACTGTTCTCAGTGTGCCATTTACCCACCCTCGGCAGCAGTTTTCTGGGGCAAAAAAGAGGAATTCTCGAACGCAAGTCCGGGAAGTGGTAGAAAACTCTAATAGTTTAGAAAGATAGTAAGGTGAATGATGTATGGGGTCGCACTAGTGCACGGAATCACAACGGGGATGAGGTCGAACTTTGCAGAACATTTCCAAAGGGCAGGACGTACCTTCCTCTCAGCACAAGTGTCAAATG